ATCCAGGTTGGATCAGCACTTTCATAACCCAAAGTCCAGGTTGGATCAGTAGTTTCATATACCAAAAATCCAGGTTGGATCAGTAGTTTTATAAACCAAAAATCTGGGTTGGATCAGTACATAAGAAATGCTGAAATTGTAGTTTAATCTGGGGGTTGGATCAGAACTTCTTAAATCCAGGTTAGATCAGGACAATTATCCCAGGTTGATTGAGTAGTATCAAAATGGTTGAATCAGTAGTTTTAATATCTAAAACCCAGGTTGGATCAGTAGAATTTATACATGCTGGATCAGTACTTTGAAAAGCCGGGTTGATTCAAAGACTGCAGGGGGTAGAAACACATCTTGCAATATGAATCAAGTAGCCAGGATCATCTCTTTTATTTTGACCCCTACATCTGGCCTCGCAGCCTCCACATGGACTACCTATCCTGTACGGTCAGACTTGGACTACAGCTTCTTGGTTTCTTGTTCCCACTGCCCTTTCGAGTAGCGTTCGGGATGACTTCCCACATTGAAGACAGCGATGACAACCACTGACTTGAAACACCATGCAGCCTAGAGATCAGCAATGCCCCTACGTTGGTGTCAAATTTAACGTTATGCCTACCAAACAGATATAATGCTACAGCGAACTTGGACAGTCTCGACGGAGTGGTACGGTTTTCTGGATTATCAGCATGAAAGCGAGGGTACATCCACCCGGCAATGAAAGTATAATAGCCGTCTAGAATACTTGGAGTCTCAGAGTCTGTGGTCAAAACAAAGGCGGGCTTAAGGGTTTTGACACACACGCTGTCACCACCATGGTCCATAGCAGCGTGTCACATCTGTCATCTAGGTTGAATCACTGTACGATAATAAACCGCCGTAGCGTTAGAAGAGATTTCCTGCTCTCTCAAGTGCACTTTATTTTATTTGTGAATTGCCTATGATTAAGCTTCGTCCTGCGCACCTGTAAGATCGAGGGTCATGGACGAAACGGAAGTCCGGAGTTTGCCGCGATTTAGGCGCCCAGATCGACACCATCACATGCACGCCTCGTGCTATGCTTGGGGTTCGTAACAGGTTGAAAGACAACCACCACGACCACTCTACACTGCATCACAAGGTCACTCATGTCCAGCCAATCCATGAGGAACCAAAAGTACTACCTCCCTGACACTGGGATGGCCATCTTCAAGGTACGAGAGTCGAAAGTGTGCGTTCAGAGTATGGTGGCATTAACCACAATGATCTTGCAGGTGGAAGACAACCTTTACAAAGTACACCGATACTTTTTCATTTGGGAATCCTCTGTCTTTCAGTCGATGTTTGACTGTCCCAACCCAGCGAAAGGACAGGATGGGGAATCAGACACACAGCCGATCCACCTTCCGGAAGTCACTCGGGCTGAGTTCGAAGCGCTGTTGGACTTCTTTTATGACGGGTGGGAAATATCTTCACCTCTCTTAAGTATACCAGTCTAAGTTGCGACTCTACAGAATGTTCGAGCCCCTGCTCAAAGGCGTTCCGATGGAGCAGCCCCTTCCATTCAACTTCCTTGGCTCGCTGCAACAGGTGCCGCGGAGACCCGTAGATGTCGCCACACAAAAGAAACTCATTTCCCTTCTGTCAATCTCACTGCGATTTGCTTTTGACCGACTCACCAAAGAGGTCATCGCTGCCATAGACTCTTTAGGCTCTGGCATGGACCCCATTCCCAAGATCCTACTGGCCCTGAAGCATGAAACCCTTCGAAATTGGGTACCACCGGCCTTCAATGCCTTGGTTTCTAGGTCGCTTCCCCTGACTGGTGACGAAATGAAAGCATTGGGACCTACGAGGAGCTCTATGATCTGTGCGCACAGAGAGAAGGGACTTAGGTTACGTGATCCAAACTCCGGAAACGCTACTGTGGCAGTCCCCCCCGAATTTTACAACACCAGCTCATTCTAGTATGATTCGTTCACAGGCATTTTTCGCAGATGTATGTGTATCCAAATCGTGAAATAGAATATCATAAGCGCGGCTTTAACATCTCAGGGACCAGGTACGCCAGTCTATGAGCTGCACTAGACAAAGTGATTTTACCAAGGTAAGAAGCATGTGCAACCCTACTAACGATCTAACGATTTTGTGATCATGGGGAAATCAATTGTCACCGCGTGCCCAGTGTGAAACGAGCTACCAGTTCTTAATTTGTAGAGGGAAGAATTGCGAAAATGTATCCTGCACGGACTGCAGCAGGTGAAGTTTGGAAAAAGGACTAATCACGAGGCAAGAATGTGCAAGCCAATTCGATCTACCCTATTATTTGATTTGAGCGTTTGTGGAAGTCAGTCAGTATATTTCAAAATGGGTCGTAAGAATCGGAGGTACAACAATTAGACGGAAGGGATGGACATGACAAATGACAACGTTACAGGTGATTTGTAGACGACATTTTACCGCACGCGCATGTCCACGCACGGAAAATCAGTAGCACGCTTGATGGGTTTGGTTCTGTTCTGAATGGCGTTCAATGCTGTGTCGCCAAAGTCATAGATAGCTCGATAAAACCCTTCGCCAGAAGGGTCTGGGATAGTCGAGAAGAAGCCACCGTGATCTCTCAGAAGTTGTAAGGCCTGAAGAGCCCAAACAGCGCAGGTCCACCTAGGGTTGTTCTGAACAATAGGAACGGCGCTGACGACTTCATCGATATATTGTGTGTGCACCAGGAGAGGAGTTGAGGACGATAACTTGGCGATGAGGACTCTGCCTATCATGTTCCCGCTCTTGATGCTGCTGACAGCCCTCGTCTCCTTACGCCACGGGGCAGGACCATACGCTGCCTGAAGTGCGCTCATACCACCTTGAGGAACTTGGATGCTGTTGGTAGCGTGGAATAGCCAGGAATCAGGAGGGTCCTGAGGGTCATTCGTCTCATACTTCGGAGCAAGAAGAAGAGCCCAATGGTATCCAGGAAGCTCGTTCCTGTGTTGAAGGGTAATGTACAGGCGAAACTTCTCAGTCTCAGGCATGGTCTATCCGGACAAAATGACAGCAGTGGATGAGCTATCCAACGGGGCATATGAAAATAAAGCGAACTCGCCTTTCGGTGAATACGTTGTCAGGTAAAGAAACGTGGGGTAGAGGGTGGAGAATGTAGTTGAAAGGGGGGGAGGGCTCGCAGAGGTTCTGAACCTGATGTTTCTCTTGTGAAAAACTGGTCTTTTAAACGACTCCGAAGGGTAACAAATATTTGAACTCAACAGCATTGCTGTGCCAGCAATCGCGGAGGACTGAGTGTTGAGTGGAAATCAATTGATGCCTCGAGGCCAAAGAAATCTCCTCAAGCGCCCGTTCTTGTGATCCAAATCACCCACGAATGTGTTCTATTCAGATCTTCAGATCTTCTGGAAATGTGACGGTCAGGCTATTCATGGAGCAGCTTTCTCAAGGCTAAGGCTTGGAATTAGTTGTTCTGACAGCTCGCGACTCATGAATTCATGAGCGGTAGGGGGTTGACCTACTGCGTGACAGATGCACATCATACGATGATGCCACGAAGGCTAACGTTGAGTTGTGGTGGGTCCATCAACGAGAAGCACGCACATATTTGATGTTAAATGACTGGGCCCAAAACATGAGAAATTTAATCGAGTTTGACTGTGGGTGCTTTGGACGTGGTGGACGATTGGAACAAACTGGGGTATTTTAGTTCCCACGGCCCTTTTCCTCCTTCCTCCACAGCGCCAGCAGCGACGAGCGTAACTCCGCGTACCAGAGGCTCAGAGCGCTACACTACAATCCTGTTCATCTGCCAATGCTGTGTCGAACTCTATTTTATCAAGAATGAATACCAATCAGGTGCGCCACTTTTTTCTACTCGTATTGAACCTGTTGTAATCACTCTCCACAGCTGGCACACGAACGGAGCGAAGAAGAGGAAGAAATGTCTTTGTTCGACAACGGATCTAATGTACGGACACCCCACTTTCTCAAGCTGCGCATTTGGCTTGGAAACACCCTCTTCAAACGCTCCCATGGACCGAGAACCTGGAGGATAGGCCCAAATTCCTTTCTCAAAGCTGGCAAGCATGTTGATGTAAGCAAAGCTCACACCATGCGTTTCGTGGCGGAAAACACCTCCATTCCTGTCCCGAAAGTCCTCAAGGCCTGGTCCACTGACGGAATCACGTTCATCGTTATGGACTTCATTGGGGGACATGACCTTTGGTACTGTTGGTCCACGCTCAGCATTCAAGCCAAGGAACGAGTCTTCGCCCAATTGAAGCAATACATTGGCGAGCTCCGCTCTATAAAGCCCCCAGATCGATACAATGGTGCTGTATGTTCTGTGGATGGCAAACCTATCCGTGACATTGGGCGTATTGGGCTGGCTCCTTGTGGACCATTCAGCACACAGGGCGAATTCCACAATTTTCTCCGAGGGAACTACATTCTCGAGTCCCCTTTGTTCTCTTCCGGAGCGGATGGTGAAGCCATTGGCGCATCGCACTCTCAAACTTACGCTACTAAATTCACCCACGGTGACTTGGCTCCGAGGAACGTCCTTGTCAAAAAGGATGGGACAATCACAGCGATTGTGGATTGGGACTGCGCAGGATGGTTCCCAGAGTATTGGGAGTTCACGAAGGCCAAGTGGTCGTTGACTCTGGCCGATTGGGAAGTAAGGATACCAGATATCACTGGAGAGTATCCGTCACAACTTGCTGGGGAGCGAGCAATTTATCGATTATTTGGAACAATGCTTACCTGAATTAGTGGAGGTCTTCAGACGTCGTGCCTGTACTGCAGGAGTCACTTTCTCTCACCTGCAGCCACCCAGACTCCATCAGGGTTGCCGAAGTTGGTAGGCTCATGATTCCTCTCAAGGTTGTGCAAAAGTGTGATAGGGAGACAGGCCCGGGCCCGTATATACTTTCGTGTTCTATTAGGGTCGTAAAGTTCGTCATAATTAGGCTATTCAATAGCAAGATGTGTTTCTACCCCCTGCAGTCTTTGAATCAACCCGGCTTTTCAAAGTACTGATCCAGCATGTATAAATTCTACTGATCCAACCTGGGTTTTAGATATTAAAACTACTGATTCAACCATTTTGATACTACTGAATCAACCTGGGATAATTGTCCTGATCTAACCTGGATTTAAGAAGTTCTGATCCAACCCCCAGATTAAACTACAATTTCAGCATTTCTTATGTACTGATCCAACCCAGATTTTTGGTTTATAAAACTACTGATCCAACCTGGATTTTTGGTATATGAAACTACTGATCCAACCTGGACTTTGGGTTATGAAAGTGCTGATCCAACCTGGATTTTTGGTATATGAAAGTGCTGATCCAACCTGGACTTTGGGTTATGAAAGTGCTGATCCAACCTG